TGGGAAAACAATGAAAAATTCATGCAAATGAAAAATAAATGCACACAAGCCAAAAAGGATAATACAGCAAGGAGCACCGCAGAGCAGCGAGAAAATAGAAACACATTTCATGCAACTTCGGACTCGGGTTCTTCCTGCCCTTTCCTTCGACTCCTTTGTCTGCTTCACGAAATTTTAATAAATTATGCAAAAATGTTCGTGGTTTTCGCGCTTTTCCCTTGGTCGTTCCTTTCTCTGCTTTCTGTAACCTTTTACTTGCTCTTTTATTCAAATTTGTGTGCATTTTTTATTCGCAAAGAAAACAAAATGCAACGCAGAAGGATTTGGTTATTTGAGCGATTGGGCATGAATGATTGTGGAGGAATGAAAAAATCAACCCTTTAGAAAGATCCGACACAGCATCCATTGATCCTTTTTCTGCGCGATATGCGATCTCCCCGACATATGTTTTTCTAGCGATCAGGTAAGCATGACCCTGCTGCGTATTCAAATTAGTTTGATTAAATATTTAAATTAGGGTCCCTGGCAGGGAACCTTTTTCGTAAAGAGCCAAAAACATTGACAGCTGCGTTTTCACTTCTCGAATTTGTGGATCGCTTGCCTAAGTTTATTTCAGTTCACCATTCGACCTCGCAGTGTGTGGATGGACGCAAAAAGAAAGTGGAGAGCACGCAACTGGCAAAACCTTCATTAAATATGAGCATCTCAAAGATCGATGGGCAAGCAAAGGCATTTTCATCGTATATATACAATTTTATATTTTTCACTGTTACACAGATAACTGTGCTTCGATCCGATCAATCGCATCGTCCTAAAGAGAAAGAAATTACTACTAGAACCTGACAAAACCGAGCCACGAGCGCTGGTCCACCATGGGTGGGGACTTAGTTGCTTTAATTTTACTGAGTAGCAGACGCAATATAAATGATTATGTTTATACTGTTAAAGTAATTTACTGAAAAATGACGCCCAGCCAAAACAAGATAATCCCATTGTGATCTACCCTTGCTATTCTTTCTTGCCGACCGTCAAAGCCAACCGCTTTAGCTGGAGGTTAAGTAGCTTGCTGTCTACTTAAGCATAATCGAAGTATGGTGTAACGATCTAGCCATCAGACGTCGAGTTTGATCATCGGTACCTCGGAGGCTCGCCCAGCTTTATCACAACATTTTGCAATGAAGATGGATAAGTGTGGTCAAATGCAAGCTGCTGATCTGTTCCATGATCGTTTTTCCGTTCTCCTACTCTGCTACTCTGCTGGTAGCCAAGGTGCGAGATCTGCAAATAATGTGGAAAAAGCAGTCGCAGCCGCAGCTCCAGCCCCAGACACAGCCCGCTTGGCTGATCTCGTGGTCACCCCCTACCGTTCCTTAAGCGAAAAACGAAGTCGCCTTTTCTGTGGCCTCTTGTGTACGGCTCTATTAACCCCTGCCGCTGATTTGGTGATAACGATCGTAATCGTAGCGGTTCTCTAGGTGCAACACATGTTGCACTTGGTTCCCCCACCCTCCAACATGACGGGGAATATAGCATAGTGTGCTATATTATTTTCCCTAATTTAGAAAATAGTTCTTGCAGCACAAATTAGTATGATTCGCTGTTCGCATTTATCGTACGTTCGCCTTGTTAAAATCGGCTGTGCCTGCCTGTCGCTTTCCCTGAAAAGCCAAATTGGAATCAAACCGTCGGGGGAAACATGTGATTTGGCTCCTATATGGTTATGGTTATGTGTTGGCTATGAGACCCGTAGCTATTTCTGCATAGTTGGGGCAAATAGAATTCGAAAGTGGTTACCAGCCCTTACTAACTCATCTTTCTTTGTTGGTAAATGGCCAATTTTCGGTTGAGGTGGATGTTCATTGGAATGCTACAAGTAACCAGATTGACTGTATTCAGAGAAATAAATACAAATATTTATTAAATCCATACTCATAAATATGCATGGGGAACAGGGAGAATATAAAAACGAAAGAAGTTGGTGGGAGTTAGGTACCTCCTAATTACACCAAAAAGGGGTTCGGCGTCAGAATACAAATCAAACAAAACGTTATGCATACATACATACATACATGTGTGTGTGTAATATGTATGTACGCACATACCCGTACAGAATGAGTGAAATAAATGGTCTTTGAATGCATTCATTCGCTTAACGAACAAATTAAGTGCCATAAATATGCATGAGAAACCCCTTTAGAAGAAATGAGTGTATATTTATGGAACGGAAGGTTCTCCATTCGCGGGCCACCTTTTCTCCCCCAGGTGATAGTTGCAGCTGAAAGCTGTTTACTCAGTTACCGTGTCTAAGCAAATACGAAAGTTATTTAATGAGACTCGCAACATAGCCGGAAAAGGTTTGAAATTAAGAGAGAAAGGAACGTTGTCTGTCTGACTTCATTGGATGGCATTTTCATGTATTTGGTTTTGTGGTTCATTGATTAAAATCAAACTGTTTATTAGGGGTAGAAAACATCCCCTGCCTGGGGACATGCACACACTCTTACTCGTACCTTTGGAAAACTACCAAAAAAAAACTCTCGCTCTTTGTTTAATTGCGTTTTCTTTGCGGTTTTCGCATTTCATTCTTGGTTTGTCATTCTCAGTTAGGTGTAGATACGCTTCTATATCTTTTCTGACAGAGCGAGGGTGTATCCCTCCTAAACTCACTTCACAAAATGTTTATCAATCGCCAAACATCGTTCATGAATCAATCCATCCATCTATCGTTCTGCCAGAGTTACTTTCAGTTGCTTTCATCAGAAAAATGATTTTAATTTTAGATTAGTTAAATGGAAATAAAACGACTATTCCCCATACTCGGATTGCAGCCGTTTCCCATCACACACGTCATCATCGTCGTCGAATTGACAGGCATGTCAATATGGCTTATTACGAGTATTATTTGGCTTGCATGGCTCTACTTACTTAATTTAAAAGACACCCAACGATTATTGGTTTGAAATTGCTTAGAACACGCGAGACAAGTGGGTTTTTGGTAGTTTTTTCTGCAAATGTTTCGTGTATTTATACGCTCGAGTAAATAGGTAGGCGTTGATCCAGAAAATACGTTTTTATATTGTTTGTTCATTGTGGATCCGGCGGAAGGGTTAGCGAGCGGTTGTTTTTACCTCTACGATACAAGACGTTGAATATGGAATTGGGAGCACGTGTGAACCTTCAGCGTATAGGCTAACAAGGCAGATTCAAGGAGACTTAGCGCTTAGTCACTGAGAAACTCTTTCGGTGTCATACGTATGTCCACTTGCAACAAACTCTTCAGTATATTTCAATGTCGTAGCAAGCACAGGACCATTAATCTCAAGCCCCAAGAAGAATAACCCCACGGCTACACTCTCATTGGCCAATCAAATGCAATTGTTGCTACTTGCTGCCTCTGCCACTGCTTCTGCTGATACCCCTGCTGATGCTGAAGGAGCCGAGCCGCGACCCACCGTCGACAGAGCCAACACCTTTGGAGCGTGAAATCGCCTCACCTCTCATGATGCGCTTTGCATAGCGTTTAGCTTGCCACATCGCCGTAGCGTATTAATATATTTTAGTCATAAATGTAGCGCGTTCCTTTCATGCCATGTTCGGTTTCACATCTCTTATCCAAGCCATTTGTGTTGCGGTAGTCTTCAGTAGCCGGTCGGTCAGAGTAGAGGGATCTCTTTTGGTTTCCCACCTGGACACGAACAACTTTTTTGTGCGCAACAAGTTTTTCAACAAAAATTCTCAGCTGATAAATGAAATGGCAAATAATTCCTGACTGGATATGCATAGACCCGTTGCTGGTGGTCATTAATAATCGCTATGGTATAATGGAAGACACGGGACGGAAGGCCAACAGAGAACGTTGCGCTTGACACCAGTTTGTTATTTTGGCTTTTGTTAGGCTATCTCATTTTAGTAGTATAACTGCTGCTAAGTAATCGTAAGTCATCGAGAAACTTCACACAACCAATACCTTCGAGCAACAACGGAAGCTTCCACACGATGGTACTTGCAAAGGGCCGGTGATGGATTATTGGTACGTGTTGTTGGGAGAGTATCGAGGATGTATTATGGGACGCAGGATATACAGCAACTGAAACACACGAGACTCATTAATCCTGGAGACAAACGGAGGCCAGCACCAGGGTCAGGACCCTTAGCAGCTGACGACACCACACCACCGCGCCACGACTCATTTGTGCTAAAAACTTTTCCTCTTGATAAATTGCCACAGCACACACACACACATACAACATATATAGTCTCCCATCTTACCTCTTTACTGGGGAAATGTTGTTGGCTGTGGCTCCAGGCTGCAGGCTTCGAGGTCGTACTGTTTTTGCTTCCACATTTTTCGATAGATAAATACTTAACACGTTTTTGCCAGTGATTTAAAGGCTTCTCCCCTTCTTGTCAACCCTTTAATCATTTGTGTGTGTTTGGCAACGACCTGAAGAGCTATTCGCAAATGGTTTTCCACCTCCCACTGCCATTTTGATATGCAAATACTTGCTGGAGGTTTCCTCCTATTTTACTCATTTGATGCGTTCACTGCGATGTCTGTTCGACCCACCGTCACCGTCACCGTCTATATCACGTTATCTCAAATTTATTTTTGTTTGTTTTGAGCCATTGTCACGTTTTTGTGCTGATTATTAAATGCGTTTAATAAATTGTTGGACGTTCTGGAAGATGAAGACAAAAAGCGCCTTCGGATCTTAAATATGCGGTTAATACGCCGCATTGTTGTAAATATAACATAGTTGGTGTTTTATCAACGTTGCATCAGCCAGTATCGCAATCGCCATCGCTTTCTTGGTCACTATCAGTATCGCTATCGTTATCGTTTTCACAATCTGGATTTTTGGCCGTCTGTGAATCCGTGTCTTCCGATTCTGAGCCCTTTGAAGAGGGTGAACTGCATCGTGAAGTTTTGGGTGAAGTTGTCGAAAGGGCATCGCAGTCTGCGTCGTCGGTATAAGAGTCCTGATCGCCATAGCTGTCCTACTCAATATCACTCTCACGCTCATCATCAGTTTCATCCTGCTCTTCAGCGGATAATTCAGCTTCCTTGTGAACCTCAGGGCTACGGTTAGCATCATTTTCGATAAATCCACTCCCCTATTCAAAGTGATTTGAAATAATTAATTATCTGATCTAATTGGAACCGATAATTTACCAATTCCAAGCTTCGATTTCTGGACAAAGGGTGAATATCATGTAGCTGCTTCATCAACGCATTTCTTTCCATTGAGTGGTACTCTCGCTGAAGATGACACTCAGTCTGCGATGCTGCTTCTCCACTATCATATTCACCAGCTGTTGTAGATTCTCAATAGTGATTTCAAAGTCCATCAGTTTTTTCTTGAGGAGCCAATTCTCTGCACGACAGTCGGCTAAGTCAGAGGCAGGTAGAGTCATCTCAGAAGTTTCCTTTTCCGCACTAAGGGATATCAAATGGATACAACTTAGATGGACATCAAAGCAAAACTCACTCTTTTACGACGTTCTCGGATGGGCTTTCTTTATCAGCTTTCAAAGGAAAGCCCACTTGAGCCATGCCGCTGTCTACGCCATTCGTATAACATTGGCAAATACAGGACATTTTCGGGTCGGTTGTAGATTCTGTAGCTGAGTTGAAAAGAGACGAACAGGTGACTAGATACTAGTACAGTATTCTCAGCAAATGACAGACTTGGCATCGCTTAGACGCAGCCCACGCTCCACTGCTGCTTCCAAAGTACACTATTAAATGAAAACTCACTGGGCAGATAAGGGTGTCAAGAACTCCAGCTCCCCCCAAAGTGTACTTTTTTTTCAGTCTAGGCCCCCGACTCCATCAGGGTCCTGGCCTGTGAACACTTTACGACTTGACATTTTCACACTTTGTTGGCAACGCTTTGAACGCTTTCCACACATTCCTTCCTCCAAGCCGAGTCAACTGACTTTTGGCTCGTCCTTGTTGCCGCGTCAATTTGGACGTCCACATCGATGCAAGCCTGCACGGACTTTCTACCGATATGCAGCTTCAGCTTCCGCAGTGCGAAGAGTTGGAGCTGGGTGAGTTTTTTGTGTGTGAGTTGGTGGATTGAAGTGCAAAATTGCTTTAAGTGTTTGCTAAATTGGCAGTAAAATGGCTTTTTCAATTTATACTTAACGTTTATATGCGGGTAGATGCTTCCACAAAGTTTTACCAGCAAACTCAACATTTACTTTGTCTCCCCTTCATTTTTTTGGCAACAAGTGGCGCCCAGCTGGGTAATTGATATTTTAAACTTATTCTAGTCTAACATGGGACTTTCTGGGAAGCCTCTGGAAAGTAATCCATAAATATTTACAAGATCAGACCTGAACATAAAGTACGTTCACTGACCATTTAACACGCTTTGGATCGACACTTAATGGTGTTCTCTTAAGCATAGTTGTATGCACATACGTACATATATACCATTGATATCTGCGATAATTATGGCTTACACCCAAGCATTTCATCCGTGGTAGTGCACACATAGGTAAATTTAAACTCGTATTTTATGACCCATTTGGTAATACCTTAAACGGCCGCTGCCAACTCAGTTTAAGTCGAAAGCAAAGGTAATCGTGATACCTAAACAACGCCAAATTACATACTAGTGGGCGCTACGTAGGCCATGTTAACATAAATTTCTTGCACCTCCTTAGTTTAGCTACCACCCTGCCCAGGTCTGACCATGCCGACCTTCCATCTTCTGTACAGAGACTCGCCTCTGAAGCATCGGGACAACCTCCAAACGCTACAAGCGCTCCAATCGCTAAACTTTAAACCAGACAACACATGCAAGCGCACATTTAAGAAGGCATAAGTCATACGTGTCTAATAAATTGATTTGCTAAAGTGGATTAGAGTTCAGTGCTTTGACATATACAGGGTGGTTCAAGCTTCGTTGGGCGGAAAGAAGGCTTACTCCAAATAATATTATCTCAGATTTGCAGAGAACGCTTGAATTGTTCAGCTGGAAACACTAAGTTGAAACACTAAGATGTACCCCATAACATATCCAACCAGTCAGCTAGTTTTGGGATTTGAGACAAAAGTCTGCCGCATAGAGTTATGCGCATAGAGGAATGGATTACCCGTATCCCGTACCCATGGTAAAGACTTTCTGGACTCCTTGGACCCTCACTCACACTCAACACAAAGACGTCGGTTAGGAAAAAAGTAGAAACACTTAAAAGGCCAGTTTGAAGTCTATTATTTGCTGTACACGAGCATATATTGATTGCATCGCAGTCGCCTGGTCAGCAAAAGATTCAGAAGAGCAAATTGCTTCAACAAATACGAATACTCGTACTCGTTGGGATGAAGGTCGAAGGGAATGTTGACGGGAGGAGGAAATCACATGGTAATCGGCGCACTACGAAACAGAAACGTAAAAAGCAATCGAAGCTACATTTTTGGGAAGAGGTGTTCAAAACCCGTTTGCAGTCACTCCACGAGTAGTCCACTCCAGCTCTCATAGTCTAAACCAAGTATTCGGTGTCTTGGCCTCTTCGTGTAGTGCAGCATTTAGCGTCTTGATCGGTTTATCAACGATTAATTAGAGTTTGATAAATAAGCGCTCGCCGTGAGTAAATATATCATGGGAGCAAGCAGAGGCAGCACAGCAGAGCCAGCCAGGTGCACGAACTGCCAGATGGGACCCCAAAATGCAAACCTACAATTTGCATATCAACCCATCCGTTTTAAAAAAGTAGCAGTCAAATTATTAATGGTTCTATGTTGTTCTATTTTTGTGCTTGCGGTTTTTCATTTTAATTTTTTTACAGAATTTTGCCTTTTTTTGTGCTGTGTGTGGTTGCTTTTGACGTTCCCCAAATAGCACATTTTTAAAGGAAGCGAACTGTGGCCAAAGGGAAATTGATGGTGGGGGTTCTTGTGCAAAAGTGCACAAATATCTTTGAACATTTCTCTGTGTGAGCATTAATTATGAAATCAAGTTATTTGAGATACGCTTGACGACCACGATGAGATGTCGACCGCTTTCATGATGAGCAGGAGCTTTGTAAATGATAATTTAAGGTAAATTTTTTATGTTTTATTTAGAATGGGGTTAGAAGGAGATGTTTTGTTTCGACCCCAGGGTGTCACTCGAAATTTTGAACACAAAAAAGAGTTGTTTGCCGAATAGAATGAAATTGTATATTTAGTGCTGAAATATTTTAGTTGAATTTACTGGACTAGTTTTCTTTCCTCAATTCCTCTGACACTTGTTTTTGGGAAATTTTTGAAGTGTACGAAAACTACTTTTACTTCTGTGACCTCTCTCTTAACTCGGCTTTCACTGCAAAATTTACGAGTATATGCATTGAAGACTAACTTATGGGTTATTACCTTAAGATATGCCACTTCTAAACAGCAAACAAGTATGAATTGAGGTTATTATTATACGGCGACTACTCGGCACCATGATTGCTACCTTTTTGCTGCATTCGGATTGCATTTGTTGGGCGACGCCTTTTATTCTTGCCCATGGCTGTGGCAAAATTGTTGACCACTTTCTGCTTGGCAGCGTTTTTCACTCTACTTCAGTCATGACCATTCACTTGGCTGCTCTACCCATCCTACTCTTTCTCCTTTTTCAGTTTTTGTCGCATTAAAATTGCTCTCAAGATATCTTCGTTACGAAATGAATGACTACTTGGGGTTCACTGGTGAGCTGCCCTTTCGTTGGACGCAAAGTATTTGCGGTTTTTTCTTCACATCCTCTTGCACAATTATCCTGATTTCAATATTACTGCTTCATAAACAAAGACTAGGTCCGACATCTCCTGGGAAAAAGGGCTGGGTCCTGGGATTGTGCACAAAACAGTATTATTTCTGCTATTTGTTTATTGAGGAATTTGTAGTCGCTTCTTGTAGTTTGTCAGTCTGTGGGGCAGGCGCTTGGTTTACGCTCCTTGAGGCCTCACTTTACCTTTTGCGGTTATTGTTCTGGTTTTTAGCCACAAGGAACGGGAATCATAAGAAGGAAATTATTTTTCCTAGTTTATTTTCCGAGTAGTGCATAGTTAGGATATCTTTCAACTGTCTACATTTCCATGAGATTTCCCGGAAAAGATTCCCAAAGTGTGTGAATTGTTTGTAGCAAAATCTTTAAAGCTACATTTCGAGCGAATTCTCCAAGCTCAGGCTTTGCAGAAGTACCAACTCAACAAAAATCCATGTAAATAGTTCTTCTGTTGTGTTTTAGGTACTTACATATGTACATATCAGCACATTTTATCTTATCTTTTAAATATTTTCTGTTTGACTATACTGTGGAAAATAAAATCATACCTTGGGGGTGGGCCTTTCTTATTCCTTGTTATACCAAGTCTACTACAGGAATATTTAAATATTTAAAATTGGCTTAATATTCACAAAGTCCCGCCCTTAAACTGCCAAAGGCAGTTCCTGGACGGCCGCACAGGCGGAGAACTTGAACCATTTTCCAAACAATCAAATCATTACAACTGTCACCCATACCACTGATTCCTGGAGATGGGAACCCCATGCTTTTCTTACGCACACGCGTTAACATTTATCAAAATTTCAAATGTCATAAATTGCATTCACGATGCCTGTTTTATTTTTCAACCTCTCTGCCGAATCACGCAATTGAACATTCATAAGCCGCGACTCTGGAATCGCCTCTACTTGTGACTTCATCTCCATTACCGGCACCCGCAAAAGTACATATACAAAGTGCCAAACATAATAACCCAAATTTGCGAAATTCGCTAACATATTTGCGATGAAGAGAGGGGTGCGACCGTTTTGCAGGGGGTACGCATCCAAAAACGCCCGCAAGCCACTTGGCAATTTTCTCACTGGCGAAATTTTCCAGGAGAAAGCACTCAGCAGGGACACGTGACACTTTCTTCGACTGTTCAGTGTGTGAGCTCGCGAAAAAAGGTTGCGATTTTCCATTTCCCCTTGATGTGACGTACGTGCGTAGCAGTCTCATTCAGGTTTGTGATTTGCGGTGGCTTTTTAAGAGGGTTTTATTCGAATATATTTTTTCATTGAGATCTAGTGGATGAAGACAAGAAGTGGGGGCTAATCAATCGTCTAAGCGGATGTAATATTTAATGAAAGAGACTGTATTCATTTCATTCAAATATGCTTATGTTTTGAGATATTTTCTGAATATTGACGCCTACACCCACTCGATTACTGCAGCTTCAGGGGTATAAAATATTATTTCAATTTATTGCACAATTAAAAAATCCAATTTCCTTTATCCTGTGAATGTAAATATTTTTCACCTATGTACGAAGCGCTTGCACTTTTCAGCAGCCGAAAAGGAAATTAAACTGGGCCCAGTCACAGCGAATAGGGGACGGAAACTCTTCTATGAGAAAAGAAACTCTAAAAAAACACAAAAGTCTTAGAGAAAAATAAAAGGCAGCACTGATGCAAAGGCGGATGCCTGGCTCGTCCTGTGGACTCAGCCGAAGTCGCATTTGCATGGCACAGTTGGCATCAAATTATGAAATAAGTAAGGGAGCACTCCATGCATTAAAAACCTTTTAATTTGCTAAATCGCCTTGCCAGACATCGTCTCTGGAGTTGGAAGTTGGGGTTGTTGGTTACCGTCGTGGATAAGCGGGCGGAAACGGATGAAGCGG